CCTTAAATACAAAAACATTTTAAATCATAAAAGTGGCTTCTAAGGTTTCTGCATAACGTTGTGCTTCTCTCTCATTATTTTAGGATCCAGTGGGGATGTCGTGATGACGCAGACCCCTCTGTCCCTGCCCGTCACCCCTGGAGAGCCGGCCTCAATCTCCTGCAGGGCCAGTCAGAGCCTCCTGCACAGTAATGGAAACACCTATTTAAGTTGGTACCTGCAGAAGCCAGGCCAGTCTCCACGGCTCCTGATCTATAAGGTTTCCAACCGGGCCTCTGGGGTCCCAGACAGGTTCAGTGGCAGCGGGTCAGGGACAGATTTCACCCTGAGAATCAGCAGGGTGGAGGCTGACGACTTTGGAGTTTATTACTGCCTGCAAGGTACACACAGACCTCCCACAATGGTTCAGCCCCAAACACAAACCTCCCTGCCTGTCACTGCCCAGCTGCCCACATGTGCTGTTTGTCTGGGGAGCAGGCAGAGCAGATTCTGAGCGTGTGTAAGAAGATGCTAGAGAACTCAGGGGACTAGGTTGCAGCTGAGGGCTCTGGGCCACAAGGGCCTCGGCTGCAGCTCAGGCACCCCACACCGAGGCCCTGGAAACGGCATGTCCTTGCTGGGTGGAGGCAGCAGGGGTGTGGAGGGGCCCGAGAGCCCTTGGAGCCAGCAGTCATGAGAAAAAGGGAGAGGTGACTGAAAACTCATCGCAATTCGCCCTGCCTGGCCTACGGGTGTCGACTCAGTCCGCATGACAGGCAGACAAGTGGGTCAGATTTGTGGAACACAAGTTAAATACATGTTGGAGTTCAGCAATTTGGGTCTATCTTTAAGAAGATCAGATCTGGTAATATTATGAAATTGATATTTACCCACTTTCCTATTTCTCCTCTTAGTACTTATGTTCCCACTCCATTGACATGTTTAAGGGCACATTCTAAACAAGCTGGTGTCAGGTGGGATGAACCGAGAACAATCAGTAAAAGTGTTGGATTCTGAGTGTGCAAAGAATCTTCCGTAATTTCAGAGCAGGTATGATATTGTGAGAGGTGACTGATGTGTGACTTTTACAAATAATCAACACATTTAATGCTATAAATTCAGTGTGACGAAGTCCCTGTTTCTGGCAAACGACCAATTTTGGGTTTTTTCTTTGTTAAAATTTTTTTTTTTTTATTTTTAGAGAGAGGGTGCACGCAAGTAAGGGAGAGGGGCAGAGGGAGAGAGTGAGAGAATCTTAAGCAGGTTCCATGCCCAGCTCAGAGCCTGATGCAAGGCTTGATCCTATGACCCTGGGATCATGAACTGGGCCAAAGTCAAGAGTCAGAACCAACTGAGTCAACAGGCACCCCACAATCCACCAATTTCGACACACTGTTTTCTTTAGTTTTAAAACAATATCGGGGCGCCTGGGTGGCGCAGTCGGTTAAGCGTCCGACTTCAGCCAGGTCACGATCTCGCGGTCCGTGAGTTCGAGCCCCGCGTCAGGCTCTGGCTGATGGCTCAGAGCCTGGAGCCTGTTTCCGATTCTGTGTCTCCCTCTCTCTCTGCCCCTCCCCCGTTCATGCTCTGTCTCTCTCTGTCCCAAAAATAAATAAAAACGTTGAAAAAAAAAAAAAATTTAAAACAATATCTAATTTCTCTTTTCATTTCTTGTTGGGCCCAAGTTTCACTTGCTGGGTATACTTTCTAGTGAGAGCAGATACTTAGGAAAGATGACCAACTTCAATCACAGGTGCCTCAGGGCCTAGGAATCCACTCCAGGGACCTGCGTTGGGGAAGGTCCTTCTGCTGGATGGCTTGACCTCAGTACTCATGCAAATAGAAAGTCTCCCTTTAAATCAGAGAGAAGTCCCTTTTGGGCCGATCAGGGAACAGGCTCTGCATATCTCTCATGGTGGCCAAAGCAGTGTGGGTTTGGAATATCTGAGCTGACAAAGTCTATAGGTCATCATAGAAGAGTATCACATTCTCCGTTCACAAACCCTGATTCTAAAAAAACAGATTCAGACTGTTTCACCAAACCTGTCTTCCCACCCACATCACACACTGTCTTCCCATCTTATGGAACCCCAACTAAGATCGTCTGACAACAGAGACAAATCTACATTAAAATCCACCTGTGTAAGTCCTTCCTCATTCAGCTGATGATGGTCAAGTATAGAGAGACTCACAGAACTGCTCTGTTCTCCACGAGGATGCCTTGCACCCCTTTACTTATCATGTGTGTGGACTCACGGTCAGTTTCGTTGACCAGGCCACAGCATGGTTGGTTATCAGACAGGAGACATTCTTTTTTAGAATTAGGAATATTATGGTCTCTGTATATAGACATATAAGGACGTTTCAAAGCCTCTTTGTAACCAAGAAAGAATTCTTATAAGATTGAACACTCTCAAAAATAGTAATTTGAACATATATGATGCATATCAATGCCCGGGTGAGTGCTCTGGGGGGACATCTTCCTCACTGGGGACACAGAGTTAACCCTGGAAGCCCCAGCTCATTTTCTTTGCCTCCTATTACTCTGGCTCCCCGGGGAGAGGAACATGGGATTATTCTGCATGTCAATGAAAAGTTTCTCGATGTTGTTGAGTCCTGTGCGCCTATGCACAGTCAGCCCAATAATTAAAGCTCCACAGAGACCAACCATCCTAGCTCTGCTGGGAAGACAACAGTTAAGGTCTAGATTACATGGACGACTTTTGTGTTTCATGTCCAACCTCGGCTACCGCCAGAGAAACCATGATGATGTAGTCTGCAGCCTCCCTTTCTCTGTCCCCAGGTGACAGGACAATCCTGACCTAGCCCTAGAGGCTAGTTTGGTACCAGCAGAAACGTGGGCAGACCTCCAGGCTCCTCATCTATGGGGCACCCCCCAAGGTCATAGGCACCCGAGCCCAGTTCAGGGCCGGTAGATCTGAACTGATTTTACTCTCGCCACGGGCAGCCCAGAAGCGGAGGATGTGCCGGTTTGCCACAGTCAGCCAGACCCCAGTGAGAACCACAGTGATCCCGTCTCTACCACAGCCCTTAGCAGCCTCATCTGCCTTCACCCTCTTTCGCCCCTAGTGAACAGCTGTTTCCTCCAGAGACAGGGACATAGATCTTCGGCAGTTTTCTCTGTTCCCTTCGTCACCCCAAAGAGGAGGTTGTGAGAGTTAGAACCGTACTTCATTCAGGTCTTATTGAATTCCCTGGGCTTTCAGACTCTCTTTTGCTCCCCCTCACAAAATATCAGATGTTAAAGAAACATGGAGAACACCATGTTCACATCTACACTTTTTATCAGGAGGAAACTGAGGCTCGGGGAAGGTCATCAATATCCCAAGGTTGTGCAGACGGTTAATGGTGAATATATTAAGGGGAACCTCCTCTCTCAGATTCTCCAAGTACTTCTAGTTTGACCTGAACAAATGATGGCCTCATCTGTCAATGTGCAGTCCCTGACAAAATGGTTCCAGAAATGTTCCCCAGGGCCCCTCAGGGGATATTTTCTCTCAATCACAGCAGTAAGGTCTGGGGCCTGAAAATCTATTGTTGGCCAAGTCCTTTCAAGGAGAAGTACACGTTTTCTTTGCCGAAGGCCCCTTCAAAGCAACTCTGAGAATCGTGTGGTTTCAGAGGAAGAGAGATGCAAGTCCTCTGCGCGTAGGGGAGGAGGTCCTGGCTTGTAAATCACGTGGTCCATCTGCTTCCTTGTGTAAGTGAAGTGGATCTCCGAGAGGGAAGGTTCTCGGTGCTTTTACAAAATGGGCATCCACCTGGTCCGGGGTATCACCTGTCTGTCCCTGTCCAGACAGGCTTAATTTGAACTTCTTAGGAAGGAAAGCTCCATGGACCAGTTATGTGAAGTGAATTTCCTTGGCGATAAGAATCTGTCAAGGAAACATTGGTGTAATTTGTATCAGAAAATCCCAGCCCCACAGATCTGCCTCCTGTTTCCTCGGCAGTTGCTCAACTAAGACCTTGCCTATCTGTTGAGTTCTCTTCAAACACCCCTGAACCCTCAAAGCACTGGGAAAAAGAGCATCCCAGTGTGTGACCTGGCATCTAATTATCCTCAGTATGAGTTTCCATAAAAGGCACTGGTTCCATCCAGAGAAGAGAACCCACCAGCAGGCAGGGCAAAATAGATCTTTCTGTCAGAAACTGAAGGACACTCAGCTATTGATTCATTAGCACAGAAATTTATCCAGCACTCTAACTCATTCTGGGTTTAAAAGCCTCCTATGCTTTGAGGACCTAGAACTGGGGCTCATATTAAATAACTACACATTGAAGTCATCTTTTTTAGTCACAAGAGGAACGCTGTTCTGTTACTGGAACGTTTAGCTGAAAGTCACGTCTGTATCTATGAATGTTAGAGCAGTTTTCAAAAAGTCACATTATCACTTATCAAAGAGTAAGTGAAAATACTAGAAGCGAGAGATTTTATGTAAGGATTTGTTCAAGGCAAGGTGATAAGAGATATTATTTTGTCTCACAGCAAATGTGGATCTATCCCTGTGTATACTAAAGAGGTATCATGAAGGGACCGTGAGGAAACGTGGAAGGAAATACCTCCCCTGCTTTCCGGGGATGAGGAACTGCCTCACTGATTCTCTCCGGAAACAATCTCCCTTTGTTGGTCATTGATTCTTAAAGATTATTAATAAAAATTACTTAGGGTATTTGTGAGTAAAGGCCCCATGTCCAGAGATATTCATTTCCCAAGTTGTCTTGAGTTTACATAAATTCTTTTTTTTTTTTAACGTTTATTTTTGAGACAGAGACAGAGCATGAACGGGGGAGGGGCAGAGAGAGAGGGAGACACAGAACCGGAAGCAGGCTCCAGGCCCTGAGCCGTCGGCACAGAGCCTGACGCGGGGCTCGAACTCACGGACCGCGACATCATGACCTGAGCCGAAGTCAGACGCTTAACCGACTGAGCCACCCGGGCGCCCCAAGTTTACATAAATTCTTGAAGGACGTTTTGCTGAGAACTGAACTCTAGTATGTGGCTTCTTTTTCTTGTCATTTTGAAGATGTCTCCGTCTCTGCTTCCCTCTGTTTCTGTTTGAGAAATTAACTGTCAGTCTTCTTGTTCCTTCGAAATGGGAGGATTTTCTTTCAGGTTTGTTAAGATTTTTTTCTATGTCATCAGGAAAGAGACTAAATAAAGAATGGTGTTCCTCATACAATAATATGTGTGCGCAGAGCAACGACAATCAACTTCAACGAACGCCAACAGCGTATGAACCTAATATGTGGTTGGTGAAAGAAGTTTCATTCGTGTAAAGTCCAAAAAAACATTGAACCGTTTGTGAGACGTCCTTCGGGGGCAAAGCTGTAAAGCAAAATGAGGGAGTGATTATAGTGGAGGTCAGGGTGGTGGTGTATCAGGAGTTCATTCCTTTTACTGCTAGTTACCATGGCATCGAATAGACAGATCACATTTTGTTTATCCATTTATAGGTTGATGGACATTTGTGCTGTTTCTACTTTGGGGCTCTTATAAATAAGGCCTGTTTATCTAGCATCTACTGTAGAATATTTCACGATGGAGAACCAAATTTTAAATATCACATAGGATGCTGTCAGTACAAGTAACAGAGGGTTAGAGAAAGTGTGGGTTCCAGAGCGGACTGAGTCAATGACTTAAAGATCAAACAGTTTCGGGGCGCCTGGGTGGCTCAGTCGGTTGAGCGGCCGACTTCGGCTCAGGTCGTGATCTCACAGCTCGTGGGTTCGAGCCCCGCGTCGGGCTCTGTGCTGACAGCTCGGGACCTGGAGCCTGCCTCGGATTCTGTGTCTCCCTCCCTCTCTCCCCCTAACCCACTCGCATTCTGTCTCTGCCTCTCTCAAAAATAAATAAAGATCAAACAGTTTCCACATCATTGCGCTGCTGTCCTCAGCCTATTAATAACAGGCACCCATGATGGGAAAGTGGCTGACATGCCACTTTGTGTCCAAACCACAGGAGAAAAACACTGTCTGTTCACTGAAACGTCAAATACAATTTTTTGAGTCTGTATTTAAGTCCTATGGAGCAACCCAGAACAACAGCAGTAACTGCATATACTGCTTCTCTTCAGGCAGTGAAGGTTGGGGTTATGTCAGCTTGCCACGAATCCAGAGAAAAGGTAGAAGCTGAAAGCATAAGGTACTGAGATGTTTAAGAATGAAGCCTGTCTGGGGGCGCCTGGGTGGCGCAGTCGGTTAAGCGTCCGACTTCAGCCAGGTCACGATCTCGCGGTCCGTGAGTTCGAGCCCCGCGTCAGGCTCTGGGCTGATCAGAGCCTGGATCCTGTTTCCGATTCTGTGTCTCCCTCTCTCTCTGCCCCTCCCCCGTTCATGCTCTGTCTCTCTCTGTCCCAAAAATAAATAAACGTTGAAAAAAAAAATTTAATAAAAAAAAAAAAAAGAATGAAGCCTATCTATATGCTCAGTAAGCATTCGATCCTCCTTCCACACTCATGTATGCCTTGAGATCAGGGTAGTGAGAATGGGTGAGTCTTCATAACAGAGACCCGGTGGCAGAGAGGAGACACAGCCCCAAGAGTCCAGAAGAATATGCAAGTATTTTCACACTGCAGAAACAGGAAACGCAGAGATGCCCTAGAGATCCTGGAACCTAAATCCAGACTCATTGTCAGAGATCGAACTATGAAGTCACCTCCAGCCCTCCCTGTGAGGTCTACACAGCTTCCCTAAAACTCACATAGTCCCGCCCCTTCTCAGTGTGACCTTAAATGCTTTTGCAAGTCTTTAGCTCAGATCCAGTGAGATATTATTTTTCCATTTCCATTTTCCCTTTTCCTGATAGCCTCTTGCCAGAAGAGAGAAGAGAAGCTGAGCGAAGGGCAGTCTTCTGAGCTCACTGAGTAATGGTTTCTTGAGTTGGGCAGTGATGCAGGTGATGGGATGGTTACAGGGAACGCTGACGTGCCACATTCCCGGAGAGCATATCCTGTCGCGAAAGCACACTGGTCCCCTCTCCACGAGATGCAGCCGAAGCCATGAGCGGGCCAGTGATGTAAATCTATCTGTGAGAACAACTCAGATTCAGGAGATACAAAAACTCTTGGGAAAGGTAGACAAGGGTCCATGGGAAGTCATTACAGCCTTCACAGAATGACTTCCTTGCCCAAGAGACATAGAAGAGGCTACTCAATCTTCCCTCGAGCCTTGCACGTTCTTCCACGATGAAGCCAGAAGACCTGCAACTCATACAGCTTAGGGAGAAACAGGGCTGAGCAGGGAGGAAGCAGCAGGTGCAGCCAAGCCTCCCTGACCCTTGGCCCCGGGAGAAGAGGGTTGTGTGCGAGGCTGAAGCACTGTGGGAGGAGAGCTAGGATACTGCTGACAGTGGTAACCCGCCACGTCTTCAGCCTGGAGGTTGCTGATGGTGAGGGTGAAATCCGTCCCGGACCCACTGCCACTGAATCGGTCGGGGACTCCAGATGCCCAGGTGGAAGCCCAGGAAATGAGCCATTTGGGAGCGTGTCCCAGTTTCTGCTGGTACCAGGCTGAGTAGTTCTTCTGGTTGGAGCTGTATAGAAGGCTCTGGCTCCGACTTACAGTTGATGGTGACGTTCTCTCTTGTAGACGTAGTCACGGAGCTGGGAGACTGGGTCATCACGATGCCCCCAGACACACCTGCAGTCACAAATGGACAGTGGCCGTACACAGCATCACTAATATAGTAAAATACGTATTCGAAAAATGTACGTTTTCTTATTTCTCATAGGAAATCAGACCGTTCTAATGAAATGTTTTATCCACGCCACATGGGAAAGTCATCGGCCAATTTTATAAAGATCTTTCTCCTCTCGGCCTCTCACCTGAGACGCAGAGCACCAGGAAGAGGAGCAGTTGGGCTGTGGCGTCATCTTGCTGTTGGTCACCCATCTGATGCACCCAGGCCCCATCCCCAGGAAACCCTATTAATAGGGCTCAGAGCAGCCAGCCTAGGGCGTCAGGAGCCTATGCAAAGCATCAGAGAGTATGAAAGGGTCTGCTCGGTGACTTGTGAAGCACAGAATGGAAAGAAAGAGACAAAATACCACGACCGGAGGGAATGTGACTGTCTGCCACAAGAGGTCCAGAAATCACCTCAAACTATGATTCGCAGTGGTATCCAGCCAAATCCCCAAATGTAAATGCTTGTCAGCACCAACTGTTCTATTTCAAATCAGCTGAAGTCAGCCTAAAAACATAAATCACTCTTTGTAGTAAAATGTATGTTTATGAGTATACAATTTTCACAACCTAATGGAAACAATGTAAATACGATGTCAGGACATGGAATATACTCATGCTGTTGGATACGATGAAGATACAGCACACACGATACAGCACACACGTTTATGTCTCTACCTCTGGCTCTCTTCCAAATTTTAAATACATATTTGAAGTTGCTTTTGGACAACTCAAAGGCGCCTCGGTTCATCCAAAGCAGACCTCTTATAGGTCCCTCTGCACAAACACCATCTCAGAAAATGTGTCACCACATACTTATGAATCACCCCTGTCGCTGCTCCGCAGGTCAACCAGTGTCTGAAACAACATCTCAGATCCTCCCCACCCCCCATTCACTGACTGACCTATGGGGTCATCGCTCCTCTGGGGGCAGTAGGTGAAATAGCTTCAGCTCCCAGTTCTGTGGGGCAGTTTTCATTTATTCAGACTCCAGATCAACAATACTTCCAGAATTGCATGAGGAACAGCATCAGGAACTCTCCTGGGCATAGAGCAGTTAGAACAAATCAAATAGAACCTCCGACCTCCTAGCTCTCTCCTTTCAGTGGGAGGGACAGATAACAAAGAAACAGATACCATGTCTGCTGCTGCCTCTCCTACCCTATGAGGTCCCTGCCTTGGAGCAGTGTCATCACTCAGGGTGAATGGGGCAGTGGATGTCCAAGTCCATTTGGTGTAACCTCATCCTTCAGCATGAACAGAGTCAGAAGAAGAGAGGACGCGTCTGTGCAAGCTAACACTTTTGTTCTGGAAAAATAAAGTCAACTGTAGTCTCACATATTGTCACGTATCTAAATCATCTCTTGATCACGGACAGTAGTCTTTCAATTCACCACTTCCCTACAGCCTGAAACTACCCCGGACACAGGCCAATGACAAATATCAATACCCTAACACTGTATAGAAAAATGAACTAGACCCGGTTTCATCAGAGCACTTGGTATGGTTAATACTCATTTCTAGCGAAGAGAACTACCTTTCATCTTTTCCATTTTTTCTTGAAACATGAACTTTATCTGCATAGAAGAAGTAAGCATTGATTCTTAATTTGCCTCCGGTTATAGTGACTTCCCCTTTGAAGCGCTCACTGTTTCTTCCTATAATCCTTAATTCAGAGCATTGGGTACAGATAGAAGAGTGGACATTTGTATTCTTTCCTCCAAACCGTCTAGCTTCTCTGCTCAAGACTCTCTGTGACTCTTTGGTAAGCTTGGTTTGGGTAATGCTGATTCCAACCTGATTCCAAGGATGAAATGCAGGACAGTAGATTTTTCTTTCAGCAAGTTCTCCTCCTTGACTGCAGTGGTCTGTAGAAATCTGTCAAGAATGGTCATTACTGAAGCTTGCCCATCTGCAGAGAATCTCAGAATTCCCGATAGGATGTGAGGAATGAATATTGTATGTACAAGAAGCATACAACACCAGAATCCGTCGGCATCCATGCTAAAGCTTCCCTTAGTATGGAACTAGCACCACGGCAGTGAACGTGGAATGGTAGGAGGGAGCTGGTAGTGACATAAATAAGTGACAGGATCAAACCTTTCCTGAAGCCTTCCACTCTGGACTTTTCATTAGCTTAAGTGCCCAGATTCCCTTTACTATTTAATACAGTGCAATTTGAGGTTCCTGCTAATTGCAACTGAAAATTTGCCAAACGATTTTGTACTCGGGACCAACCTAATAAGGTAATGAAATTGGAAATATCTCCATTTTACTTTTTGGCCTGCAAAGTGTCACCACAGAAAATACGAAAGAAGCATTGTTTCCAATGGTCTGTTCCTAACCTGGAAAACCATGAAAAATGCAAGCCAATATGGTGATATCAGCCTTTTCCAGGGAAAAGATCGTTATTTTCTTTAGATTGTCAAAACTTGTTTTTTAAGCCATTAAAAATCCTTTACTTAAAGTATAAATTCAGTTATTTTTATTGTAGTTACAATCCTGAAAGAGAGCATGATCTCCTTCAGGAATGAGCACAGCACATGGGAAGGATCGGACCATATACACACATGCGCTCACCTGCACACACACATATCTACACGTTGTCATAAAATAATCATAGCCAACTTGATAGAAGGTATGGTTTATCCATTTATACCAGCTGTATATGTTCACATGCATTCCATGAACTATTCCTCATCATAAATTATACCATCTTTTAAATCAGTAATCAAAAACCTCCAAGTAAACAAAAGTCCAGGACCAGACAGATTCACTGGTAAATTCTACCAAACATTCAAAGATTTAAGATCTGTTCTTCTTAAGGCACCTGGGTGGCTCAGTCAGTTAAGTGTCTGAATTTGGTTCAGGTCATGACCTCATGGTTTGTGAGTTCGAGCCCCGTGTCAGGCTCTGTGCTGAGAGCCTGGTGCCTGCTTCAGATTCTGTGTCTCCCTCTCTCTCTCTGCCCCTCCTCTGCTCATGCTCTGTCTCTGTATCTCTCTCAAAAATAAACATTTAATAAAATTTATCTATTCTCAAAATTCCAAAAAGTTGAAGAGGAAAAATGCTTCAAATTTGTTTTATGAAGCCAGCATCTCCCTGATACCAAAACCAGACAAGGATACCGCAAGAAAAAAAAAATTACATGCCAATATCCTGGACGAACATAGATACAAAAAGTCTCAACAAAATAATAGCAAACCAGATTCAACAATACATTAAAATGATCATACACCACGATCAGGTAGGACTATTCCAGGATGCAAGGATGGCTCACCAGCCATCAATCAATCAATACGTTGTATCATATTAACAAAATCAAGAGTAAAAACATAGGATTGTCCCAATAGATGCAAAAAGAGCATTTGATAAAATTCAGTAGCCACTGATCAAAAAGACAAGAAATAACAAGCGTTAGAGAGGGAGGTGGAGAATGTAAATTGGTGGGAATGTAAATGGGTGCAGCCACTATGGAAAACAGTATGGAGTTTCCTCAAAAACTTAAAAATAGAACTACCATGTGACCCAGCTATTCCATTTCTGGGTATTTATCTGAAGAAAACAAAAACAGTAATTCAAAAAGATATATGCATCACCGTGTCCGTTGCCACCTTATTTAAAATAGCCATGCTATGGAAACAACCTAAGCGTCCATCGATGGATAAATGGATAAAGGAGATGTGATACACACACATACACACACAATGAAATACTACTCAGCTATGAAAGGGAAGCAAATCTTGCCACTTGTGACAACGTGGATGAAACTTGACGGTAATATGCCAAGCAAAATAAGCAAGACAAAGACATTCCTGTATAATAATCACTTATTGATGTGGAATCTAAAAAAGCCAAGTACGTGGAAACAGAGAGTAGATTTGTGGTGGCCAGGGGCTGGCTGGTGAGATAAATGGGGAAGTTTAAGTGCTGATCAAAAAGTACAAACTTCCATATATAAAATAAATAATTTCTGAGGATCTAATGGACAGCATGGTGACTGTAGTTAATAGTATTGTATTGCACTTGAGGGTTACAAGAGGCTAACTGAACATGTTCTCACCACATGCACACACACACACACACACACACACACACACACACACGCACACAAAATTAAAAGGAAAACTATGGGGGCGCCTGGGTGGCGCAGCCGGTTAAGCGTCCGACTTCAGCCAGGTCACGATCTCGCGGTCCGTGAGTTCGAGCCCCGCGTCGGGCTCTGGGCTGATGGCTCAGAGCCTGGAGCCTGTTTCCGATTCTGTGTCTCCCTCTCTCTCTCTGCCCCTCCCCTGTTCATGCTCTGTCTCTCTCTGTCCCAAAAATAAATAAACGTTAAAAGGAAAACTATGTGAGGAGATGGTCGCATTAACTATCCTTATTGTGATGATCATTTCACAATGTAAACGTATATCAAATTATCACATTTGGTAAAACTTAAACTTACACAATGTCGTATGTCAATTAAATCCAGAAAAAAAAAAATGCCGCATCATTTCCTCCTGGCCTCTATGGTTTCTGAATTGAATTCCTGTCATTCAACTGGTTTTCTCCTATGGCTAAGTGCGATCTCACTCCTTCCGACTTTCAGATTTTTTTCTTTTCCTTTGGTGCTCAGAAATTAAAATGTAATGTGTCTTCACATAGATTTCTTCAGGTTTATCTTGCCGAGGGCTCGCCAAATGTGGAAACCTTTCAGCGATTTTTGTTCAAAATATTTTTCATCTCCATCCTCTCTCCCCCCTCCTTCTGGGATTCCAGTGGCACAAATGTTAGATCTTCCGTTTGGTCCCGTGTATCCCAGAGACTCTGTTCTTGTCTTGTCTCTTCTTTTCTTTTTGGCTTAGTTTCTCCTTTTCGTTTAGACCGGGTAGTTTCCTGTCTCTGATCTTTCCTCCTTTATCATTCCAGCCTTCTCCTTCCAGGCCCTTACTGGCCACCGCCCAGTAGTGCGTGCACGTCCTTCAGGCCACTTCTCCAGCCCCATTACGTCGACGACTCTTCACACTCTTTGAGTATCTACTACGTCAGCATCTTACTTCACACTCTGTGGTTACAGCTCCGGTATGGGAACTGTCCGATTTTACTTACACCAGCGTATGATGCCAACCCGGACGGAGCCTGGAGTTCTTTCTCTGGCGTCAGCCGGTTGGGAAGCCCTGCGTCTTTGACCCGATATTTTAAGAAACAAAGACAGGAAGGTTACTATAATGCAGTAAGTAGTTTTTACTATACGCACAGAAACGGAACACACAGCAGGGTCCCAAGGCGACACGGCAGCACGGAGGTGAGAGGGGTGGGCAGAGAGAGGAACCGTAGGCCGTGTACTTTACTGTGTATTTCGTGAGAAGAAATAGGGACGCAAAGTAAGCAAGCCACTTAGGCCTAAGATTGGACAGTTTGAAAGTTGCAGCAGGCTGCACACCACAGGAGTGTCCCCTGCCGCCGGGTACCTGGGGCGATTAGGGCAGGGGACACTTCACAGACCGCAGGTCTGACTGAAAGGAGGCACGGGAGGATGTGGGGATTGTCCGGCCTGCGTATCAAAGGTGTGCGCTTGGGCAAGACGTTTACTGTTTGGGGGAATGCGCTAACCTGGGGAGAGGCGGTTCCTTCATGGCCGAGGCACCAAGAATGCAGAAATACGAACATACATTTGATATAAACCCCCGTGAGGCTAAAACCATGAGCTGAGGCAGAGGTGTTGGGGCAAGAGTGGTAAGTACTGTAGAGAGCTGAAACTCCTGTCCTGTGAGTTGAGTGTGTCCACTGAACCGGCTTGGGTCCAAAACTAAAGACAGTGCTGTCGCCTTCCTGGGACTGACTGCTGCTGAGCTCCACCCAATCTTACCATCCATTTGGGGTCTCTGACATTTCCAGTTTATGCTGGGCAGCTGAGACACACGGTCACTTGATGAACCACGGACATGTCCACCGGGGCCCGTGCCATTCTGGGAACCGCTTTGTGAACAGTGAAGAGTTGATTTTGCGAAGGGCCAAGTCCTGCTGTAGAACCCTTGACGTCTATGCTACGACTCTTTGTCTGGGCCGGCCAGAGCGTCCACACGGTGTCCTCATCTAACACAGATGCACGTGCCACCAGGCAATGGGCCCAAATGCTAGAGCCACCTGCATCGTGACCTAAACCTGATAGAGGTTCCCTCCCGGCTCTGCGCCCACTCTAACCTGGTGACCTCAAAGTTGGCTGACACGCAGAACGGTGTAGTTTCCCCAATGTGTTGCTTCAACACTCCAGAGATGCCTACAAAATATTGTTCTTCCTTCTCAGTGGCCGGAGGTACAAGATGCGATTTCTATTCCTTTACCTTGAAGAGGATGTGCCTGCCACGCTCGGACGTCTGGACCCCTGACACAGCTACCAGCGAGGCGGGCCCAGGGGTTTTTGTAGGATCTGCACCTCACATGTGTTTTTGCAGGATATCTACGTCCTCGCCGTTTCTTGCCCATCGGGTCTAATGACCATGATGTTATCAAAAGAGTGCGGTACGGTGGGACGCTTCACGTTGTGTTCACACAGTGCACTGTGACAGAGAGCAGAGAGTTCACATAGCCCCGGGCCAGGACTCAGGATGTGACCTGCTGCTCACCGCGGATGCATGGAGACTCCAACAGAGGACTGCGTTGGATGAGGTGTCATTACCCTGCTGGGGGATCTTGCATTTGGTCCAGCATGGGGTAAGCTCTTTCAAAACCCCCACAGGCCAGAAGAGGGAGCCTTGATACAGCCAGAGAAGGGCAAGGGCTTCTGTGGACCCAACATAACTTTTGAGCCTTTGAACAATACAAAAGGCCCATAATTTGCATATACTCTTCCCCTTAGATCTGAATGAAGTGTTTCTGCCTCTCGGGAGCTTATAAGAGAGAGAGTCTCTCTCTGGGTAAGTGGCCCGAGCAAAGTAGACCCAGTGAAAACAGCAAGATGGTGTCTCCATCACAGCTTCTTGGGCTTCTGCTCCTCTGGGTTCCAGGTGAGAATATTCGGACCGAGGTAAAAGTGGGGGGATTATTTTCAATCACCAATTTTCCTTCTTCCTGAGACTCTTTTGACAACGAATGTGGTGTACTGACTAAGTCTGAAAAATTTTGAAATAAATAGCATTCTTTCTCCTCCCTAACTAGAGAATGTGGGCTTCTAGGCTCTGCTAATGTTTTTCATGTGTGGTTTCAGCCTCCAGTGGTGAGGTTGTGCTGACCCAGTCCCCAGCCTTCCTGTCCAGGAATCTAAAAGAAAAAGCCACCATCACCTGCCGAGCCAATCAGGGCATCAGCACCAACTTGCACTGGTATCAGCAGAAACCAAATCAGGCTCCGAAGCTCCTTGTGAAGTATGCTTCCCAGTCCGTCTCGGGAGCGCCGTCGCGGTTCAGCGGCAGTGGGTCTGGGACAGATTTCTCACCATCAGCAGCCTGGAGCCTGAAGACGCTGCCACTTACTACTGCCAGCAAAGTAACAATCTCCCTCGCACAGTGTTACACACCAGACCATAAACCACCAGGGACGCAGATGCGAGAGGCCGGGCTGCCCCCGCCGCTCCTCCTGTGGCTGCATCTGCTCAGAGAGTTTGTCAGACGCAGTCCCGCTCTGGGGGGTCACTGGGAGGCTTGGGAGAAGGGCAGGGAGGCGCCTCGGGCCCCTGACTGCCCTTCCCCCTCCTCAGTCCAGCGGCACAGACACGACAATGTCTCTTCCGATGTAATCCAGACGGAGATGTGGGCAATGGCATCCATCAGGGTTCACACGGCAAAAGAGAAGCCACTCTAGATATTCCAACCAGGAATTGCTTAATATAGGGAAGTAATAGCTAAACTTCACTCTTTCAAAGGCCTGGGTATATAATAATAAGGGAAGCAGATACTAAAAATAGGTGATTCCTCCGTGGTCCCCCATAAGCCAGAGAACATATGCCACTGCCTTATACACTGTATGAGGTGGAAGAGGCTGCCTAACTACGTGGTCCTCAGGACTGTCTAGGAAGGCCAGGGATGGGGGTGCTGATGCCGTAGTCTCTGCAGCACCCCCCAGGTGATTCTCCGACCCTCCCTTGTCCTCGCCTCTGCCTGCAGGTGCTGATGGACGGTCCTGAATCCTCCTCTGCTGACGTCCATCTAAGGTAGGGCCTCTCCGCGAGCAGCCCCGTAGGAAACCACGGAGGGAAGGGGCTGGCTCTGGGAAACGTGCTTCCGGAAGTGATGGTGGTGATGGGGGGCAGGGGGAGGGGTGGGTGGTGACAGCAGACAGCCTGGATGGCCGCCATTGTCACATCCCCTCAGCATTCTCCCAGTCAGGGGAAGGGCCCAGATACATTGGGACATGCTTCTAGCTACCATCAGCAGGTGTGAATTCATAACAAGAAAATTTTGTCAAGCGGCCCAGAAAACAGAGAAAAGAGGAAATCGCACCACATGGTATAAGAATAATTTGACACACCGTGAAAGACTTTCTTGATTAAAAAGCAAACTAAATGTGGATGAAGCATTGTGTTTCCTTAATATGAAAATATCTCCTTGCTCAAAATTTTCCAGAAGCCAGAGCATCATGGACACCCGTGGAAGCCGTCACAGATGCAAACTAGCAGGCTCTGGCTGACACTACTTACACGGAGCTTCATCTATCAAGATACAGGAGACGTGTATAAGGTGTAAGATGCCCCACTTTAGAGCACATTTCCTTCCGCTAAGCAGTCTTTTCTATTTTCATTTATGAAGTTTCTGTTTAAAACCACATGTTAGGGGCGTGTGGGTGGCTCAGAAGGTTGGGCGTCCGACTTCAGCTCAGGTCATGATCTCGCGGTCCGTGAGTTCGAGCCCCGCGTCGGGCTCTGTGCTGACAGCTCAGAGCCTGGAGCCTGTTTCAGATTCTGTGTCTCCCTCTCTCTCTGACCTTCCCCCGTTCATGCTCTTTCACTCTCTGTCTCAAAAATGAATAAACGTTAAAAAAAATTTTTTTTAAAAACCACATGTTAACAACATATCCGATTTTATTTTCTAATTCACACAAAATTAAATCTCACACCTGTTTTTATTTTATTTTTTTAATGCTTATTTATTTTTGAGAGAGAGCAAGTATGCATAAGCAGAGGAAGGGGAGAGAGAAAGAGGGAGAGAGAGAATCTTAAGCTGGCTCCCTGCTTATTGCGGGGACCACGTGGGACTCAATCTCACGACAGCAAGATCACGATCTGAGCTGACACCAAGAGTCGGAAGCTTGACCTACTGAGCCACCCAGGTGTCCCATAAGCTTCTATTTAGATCATAAGCACTGAAACATATAATTATTTGGAAATAGCATGACCGTATGACTTAAAAATTAAATAGCATAATGTGTTTTAACTACTTAAAGAATTATGAAGACTTAAGAATAAATCAAAATTATATGCGATTGTGTTGGCCATGATTGGACTTAAATTTGCTGGGCTTGGGATTCTGTACCTTCCTACAACTTGCCATGAGAATGATGTACCATGGGTAATCACCACACCCTCCGTCTTAGCCAGATCAAACACAATCTATAGGCTGAAGAACAATTCGTCTGCCTGCAGAAGAACCACACACTGAGCCCTGTGTCCATCATCCAAACCACTGTTAACACGAACACCCGTGACTGTAGAAACAAATGCTTAGTATTATAAGCCATTGAGTTTTTGGCCGATTTGTTAAAATCCTGTGTAAAATCTGACTAATACAATTTTTACGCATCTTTGCATGGAGATCAACAGGTTTTATTGAAACCAATGGCATAAAAATGAATACTTGTGAATCCCTTCATAAGAGGATATAAAAACATAAAGAAATGTTTATAAAATTAAATATTTGAATTAAAAGGGTAAAATCTATCCCTTGGTAGAAACATCTAACTAAGGTTACATAGAGTAATAATAATGACAAGTTTTATAGATCATTCAGACTTAAGTGATTAAGTCTAAATTTTATAAATAAAATTACATATGCAAACACGTGTCCATATGCATGTATGTGTAATTGTATATAATATACACACATGGGGATACATATTTTTGATGTGTGTATACAGTTATCTTAGGAATCAAATGGGTTAATATGACTCCAGTAACTCCCCGTCAAAAATTGGTGGGGAGTATCTCCACCAATCTCTTAAGTATCTCAAGAGATATAAATCTGTGGACTATGTTTTATTCCCCTGGTCTCTTTGAATATCTTTGTGACAAGTATAGAGTCCTCGTTACTGACTAGGACTAGGAATAGTACCTAACCTGACTTAAAAGAAACTTTGTGATCTTTGTTTCTAAATAATACACCAGTTGGCATACTTACCTGAATATATGTTTTCTAACTCTGTGGAGATCCAAGAGGTATGAATGGAGGTATTTTTTTCCTACTGTGAGAAAGTAAACATCACAGCCTATGAAAGTCCCATGGTCTCTATGTCCTCATTCATGCTATGAGTTCCAGGTACGAGATATTAACAAATCATTTTTTTCATTATGGCGAAATCTATTAATGCCCTCATGACATAGGTCACAGCTCCTGTAATTCACAGAGAGAATAACAATAAGCTACTGACTCTGGATTTTGGCTGAGGTCATGATCTCGCCATTTGTGAGATCGAGCCCTGCGTCGGGGCTCTGCGCTGGTGACATGAAGACTGCTGGGATTCTCTCTCTCCCTCTCTCTCTCTCTCTCTCTGCCCCTCCCTCGTTTGCTCACCAGCTCCCTCTCTCTCCCAAAATAAATAAATAAACACAAAGAAAAGCATGGAATGGACACCTAAATTATGATCCTTGCAAATTTCCTTCTCCTCTCTGTACTTAATCTTATCAATAGTTTTGAAACCTGTGACCATTTCAATGCAGCCCAAATTATCAGTCTTTTATGTGTGGTGCTCTTCAAGGTTTATCTGAAAAGCCGTTTCATACACCAAATTGATGAATACATTACTACTTATTTTTTTATGAAGCTTTATTACTGTACTTTAGATTTATAATCTGGCTGGATTGTTTGATATGGTATAAAGTAGGGGGTCAGATTTAATTTTTCTTTCGGTATGAATACCCACTTGAGCCATCACACTACGTGAGGAAGAATGTTCTTTTGCCAGTTGCCTGAGGAGCCACGTTGATCGCAAATTAAGTATCTCAAGAGATATAAATCTGTGGACTATGTTTTATTCCCCTGGTCTCTTTGAATATCTTTGTGACAAGTATAGAGTCCTCATTACTGAGTCTTTAAATCAGTCTTAATAGTCACTAGAGTATTCTCCCCACATTCTTTCTTCCTCTTCAAAATTGCCTGGATTCTTTTTAGTTCTCTGAATTCCCTATACATTTTAGAATTTGCTGTACGGAATACATAATAACTGGGTTTTTATTGGGAATACGTTGAAGCCACAGATCACTTTGTTGAGATAGATATATTGGGTCTTGAGATGCATGAATGTGTTTTATCTCTCTGTTCATTCAGGTCTCCTTGACTCTCTCTTAGCAAAGTTTTATTACCCTCAGGTCTGTATGGTGCCTGGTCCCTGGCACGTAAGAATGCATTTCCTCTCAATTGTACATTCAGGGGCGCCTGGGTGGCGCAGTCGGTTAAGCGTCCGACTTCAGCCAGGTCACGATCTCGCGGTCCGGGAGTTCGAGCCCCGCGTCAGGCTCTGGGCTGATGGCTCAGAGCCTGGAGCCTGTTTCCGATTCTGTGTCTCCCTCTCTCTCTGCCCCTCCCCCGTTCATGCTCTGTCTCTCTCTGTCCCAAAAATAAATAAACGTTGAAAAAAAAATTGTACATTCAGCTTACAGTTTATTTCTAATTGCCAACGTAATCAATTATCCTTGAAAACTTTTGCTTTGAATGTCCGTCTCCATTACGAAAATTCAGTTTTCCATTTGGACAGGAACCTTGCAGCCTTGATAATCGTTGTGGCCTCAGGCCGTAAGAAAGTGTCTCCTTGTGAACATTAGGTGGTAGGTCGATATGTATTCTTCTAGTCTATGATTGACCGAATCACTAGACTTATTCAGGAAGCTCATTATGCTTTACTATCTTTCCTCTGTGACAGTAGTGTGAGGTCTTTAGATAAAGAAGGACTATAACCTCATTGATAAGGAAGGAATTCATCCCCCGATGCAAGACCAAGGAGGTCCCGCAGGAGAATGGCAGTCATACCTAGGAAGCTGGGACCCATGCATTATGCAGGAAACTGCTGTGCCCCGAAGCACTGCAGACTTTTGTTTATGAAGGTCACACTGTGGGGTCCTGGCCACTCATGACTGTCATAGGTAGCAGCATCAGCTGTCCCCACACTGCTGAGAGTGAGAGTAAAGGAGCTACAACCACTCAAGGGTGTTGGGACACCTGAGGCCCCTGTGGAAGTGTCATATAGCAGGACCTGAGGAATCCTGCCTCGTTTCTATGGGTACCAAGCAACCTTGCTTTTGTAATTGGGATGTGTAATTGGGCGGCTGGAGAATGCATCATACTATTGCCTATT